GGCTGAAGCAGAGGCGGTTAGGGGTGACCAGGCAAGCAGAGACGCAGTTAGGGGGCGACCAGGCTGGCAGGGGGGCAGTTATGGGGCGACCAAGCCAGCAGGGGGGCAGTTAGGGGTGATCAGCCAGGCAGGCAAGCAGGCGAGCGATTAGGAGCCAGTGGTCTGCAGGGATCGGGCCTACACCGGCCGTCGGACATCCCCCGAGAGGTCCCAGATTGGAGAGCATGCAGGCTGGGCTAAGGCATACCTCCCTCCTGTGCACAGATTTCGTGCACCGGGCCTCTAGTAAGTAAACAAATAAATATTTTAAACATATAATATCGACCCAGGCATCCCGTTGGTAATTTCTAAGAGTAGAAGTCTTTGAACAGTGTGGAGGAACTGAGAGTAAGCCATGGTAAGTCATGGACTTTTGCCACACAGGGCGGACCATGAGGCCTCCACACTACTTATTCTGGGGGAAGTTTATTCACCCCGGGATAACACTATAGTACCTTCTTCTCAAAACGCAGATTACGGTCCTAAAAATACCCCTAAACCCCAGCCCAGACTCCCCCAAATGAACATGCAATGACATATGTACTCGACCCTAAATAGACAATTACATTATGCATGACGCGTGGGTACCATCTCTCACGCTCATCTCGTCTTCCGTTTATTTTTAGATTCCAAGTTAAGGCGGGAAAAAAAAAGATAAAATTAACTAAAAAAGTCCATCTTCCAAGCACATATATGGTCACGGCAGGGAATACAAGATGAGGCTGAGAGATTTGCAGAGCTAGCGCCGTGCCAACCACCTGGGGGCGGGGGGAGGGGGGACCAAGGAGATGCAGAAACGGGAAGCAAGCCGCATGATTGGCGGGATCACATGACCGAGGTGAGCATCAAAGAGATAAATGAAAAGGTGGGCGCAATGGGCAAACCACGGAGCCCAGGTCAGTGCCGGGCACGGTTGAGCAGAGTGAGAGCCGGGGAGTGGAGGGGAAGACGCACCACTTAGTTCAGTCAGAGCCACGGAATGTGACTTTGTCTGGGAAGGTCGGGAAAATCCCGGCCGGAGGGACGAGGGCATTCTCAACGGCCCTCATTGTAAAAACGCCCCTACGTTTGGGATACGTTTTCTATCATCTCCACGACATCACCGACGCCGGCTAAGGTCCTGGGTGTCAACGCAGAGTGAAAATTTTTTCTATTTTTTATCACTTTATTTGTTTATTCATTCATTCATTTTATTTATTTGATTGTTTATTTATTTATTTTTTAATCCTCCCCCAAGGATATTGTCCCATTGATTTTTAGAGAGAGTGGGAGAGAGAGGGAGAGACAGAAACTTGGATGTGAGAGAGAAACACATCGATGGGTTGCCTCCTGCACACACAAACCCGACCAGGGCCCCGGACTGGGGAGGAGCCTG